CAACCAAACCGTCCAAACTAATACAACAACCAAATTAACCAAACTAAAGTTTAATCGGTTTGGTTAATTGGTTAACCAGAAACCAATATAAAATCACATTATCATTGATGATGAAAATTTTCAAGTTAATGCAACAATTCGCAATTTATATAATGAATAAAACATAACAATCAACACGTAGTTATAGTTGACCCTTAACAAAAATACATGCAACTAAGACAATTATCTTAAGATTAGTATAGAAGTATTCACCTAACAAAAATTTATGACAATGGTATGGGTTAATGAATTGTTGTGTTTGTGTAAATTGACTTAGTCTCTTAGCAATTATCATAGGCCGGAAATGACATTCTTTTCAAGTTTTCATCCATCATAATGTATGAAATTTATCTAAATTAGGCATCCATATGTTGTGGTCTACACTTTACACATACAAATATACACTATATGAGCAATATTGAGCTTTATATTTTATGAGTCTAAAAGGGATGAACGTTAACACAATAATAATATTTTGGTCATAGACTTGTTTGAATTAAATTATTACAACAACTGTACGATCATACAAGAACAAACTTTTGGAAACAATAAGAAAACTACTAAAAGTTATCTCACTGTTTTCAACTAATTTATGTTGTGCTGTCAACTACCGTTGCCACAACAACATATAAAAACATAACTAAACATATTTTCCGTAGGAAAATGATACAAAAGCTAAATCTCCCATCCCCTTCTTCTGCATGTCTTATCATAAATCCACCTAATCTCATCTTACATTGCACTTCAATCTCCGAACCTCTATTAATCTTTAATTAGGTGCATGTCAAGATCCTCTATTCCTCAATGATGTACATGATACCAATATTTTGGTTATCAGTACTAAAATTAGATATAGTACGATAGGTGATACGTATATTTGCAAATGTCGATCTCCAATGAATGAAAGGAAAAATCCTCACTATTGGTTTGCCTAGAGAGATACTTGAAGCATCAATATAATTCAACCTCAAAGCAATAACCCTAGCAAGTAAGATGATGGTTGGAAAAAATTGAAAAACAAATGCAAAACCAAAGGGGATAGGTTTAGTCAAATCCCACAAGCTAAACATGCACAGAGAGGTTTTCAATTTTTGATATTGGAAAGGCGCTAGTTTACCATTTTATAGTGATTTACTCTCCACTTGCGCACTAAGTTTATTCAAATAAAGCTCAATTAGCTTTCTAGACTGAGTCAGCATCTTATCACTTTTAAACTTGAAAAGAAAGCAAATATACAAGAGAGGGGCGATTAGGTTATTTGACATAAAAGAGATTTTGTCGATGTCGATGAATGGTATCTCTCAGAGCCTTTTTTCTATTTCTTTTTTAAGTCTGAAATAATTTAGGTAATTGTTTCAATATTATCGGATGTCATCGAAGAGATTTAAGTTAGAATTAACATGGGTGGGATACAATTATGCATTGTTGGGTTGGTGGGACACATTAGATGATACATTCTCTGTCACATCTCCATCATTTGTTTCTTAATAGTGATAAAAGTTATTTAAAATTGGTCTATCGTTTCTAGAGGTGGCAATTGGATTGGATTCGTGGATTCGTGGATTCGATTGATGGATCCGTGGATCAAATGGATTGGATCCAATGGATTGGTGGATTCATGGATTGGATCAAATGGATTGGTGGATTGATCCATGAATCCAAATGACATCCAAGGCTTGGACCAAAATGTAATTTTTGAAAAGTTTAGGTACTAAAATGTCATAATGAAAAATTTTAGGTACCAAAATGTAATTTTTCAATGATATTTTTCGTATTAAAATATAAATTTTAGGTACCAAAATGTAAAATATAAAAAATATAGGTACCAAATCGTAATTTGCCATTTGGATCCATGGATTGATCCATGAATCCACCAATCCAATTGGATTTGGATCAAATGGATTGGATTTAAATGGATTGGATTAGGTGGATAATTTGGTGGATGGATTGGATTGGATTCATGGATTTGGATCCTAATTGCCACCTCTAATCGTTTCTATCACTGGTCTTCAATTGGAAGGTTTTACATTTGAATGTCTTTCATAACTTGTAATAATAAAAATAAATCTATATCATCCTTTTAAAAACAATATTTTCATCCTATGTTGGATTAGTTTGAATAATTTCTAACAGTGTTCTCTTTAAAAAAAAAATGTAATCCAACAAATGCTTATGTTTATTTCCAAAATATCACAACGTACATTTATATTTGTAAAATATATAAGATAAATTAATGGTCTACAATATTCAATAAGTATCTTCCAACATAACCCACTAGACAATCCCTAACGAATCGATAGCACTTGCTCTAAATAATCAAAAGGTGTCAGGTTTAAAGCGTGACAATGCTACTCTGAAATTGATGAAAAACTTTCAGAAGGTGTGCTGCGGGAACCTCTAAAACCCCGCGGATTCACCATTATTGGGGACACTGTTGGTTGGTTAGATTACAAATCATACATGTCAGGGTGCAACTAGGTTAACGATATCAGTCTTGTCAGCTCAATCTACGAGTCGTGCGATTAGATAATTGAGTTAATCGAGATTTGTGTATGGGTGTGATTATATCAGAACTTTTAAATTGAGAACGTCAAGTGAACAAATCGGGATGATCTTATTTACGTCGAGCTAGTTGAGTTGCAAATTGATAGGTCACGAGTAGTTGAGTCGGAAACAAGCAAAGTCTGCTTGTAAGTAAGTTTTTGATAAAATCTGTAGTCAACTAGTACTGATATATGCATGTGCTTATTTGGATCTAAATTTGATGTTTTTCAGGGAAAAGAAGGTTTTTTCCCGTTACATTTACAACTTACAATTTCCCAGTTAAAAGCTGAAATGTACGTATTTTCCCTGCCCGAATGATAACATACAAAATCGGGAACCAAAGGTAAAATCTCGCAAGGGGGAATCTCGACTGGTAAGGGACGAGACGAGTGCAGGAATAAAATGTCTCAACCAGAAAAGACGCGCATTCTAAATCATGAATTGATGCACTGTATACAGCACAAGACGACGACGAGTGGCCAGCGAGCAATGGCCAATGGCTGGCGCATCAAAAGAAATAGGGATGGTAATAGGTCGGGTTGGGTCGAGTGGCCAGCGAGCAATGGCCAATGGCTGGCGCATCAAAAGAAATAGGGATGGTAATAGGTCGGGTTGGGTTGGAAACGGATAGTGCATATCCGTTAGCCTATTTAAAGTAGTTCGGGTTTTACCCAAACTCATACCCACATAAGTAACGGTTAGAAAATCCAAACCATGCCCATACCCGTTCGGATTTATGGTATCCATGGTTATCCATGGGTAATAGTTTCTCTTTATAACTATAACCAATATGTTAATATTCACACGTATTCTCATGTTATGTAAGACGAAAAGTACGACAATAATTCACTAGGATGAAGAAAATTAATTAAAACGACACAATTTTATAAAAATATTATATTTATATGCTAAATATAAAATATGTTAGAGAAAAATATTGATTATATCTAGACAAAATACATATGCATGTGTATAATCGGGCGAGTTCGGGTTGGATAGTGAGAAAAACATGCTCACCCATTATCCGTAATATTCGGGTTCGGATTTTACCCGTACCCACTAAAAGTCCATCGGCTTCGGGTTTTACCCTACCCAATTAGGTCGGATTCGGGCGGATATCCACGATTATATATATTTTTGCCATCCCAAAAAAGAAAAGATACTCTTCAGTCTTCACTGCCTCCTCCCCCGGGCGTCTGTATTCAGTTTCATATTTCGTGCCCACGTACGCAGCGGCCTATAAATATAATACTCTGGATCACTCTAAGTATGAATGATTTTATTAGAAGTCACTTTGATATGTATTCTAGAACAAAATTCGCGAGTGTTTAGGTCCAAGACGGATAATAATTTGCCGGGAAAAGATTCAAAATGTTACAATTTGACACAATCATGTGTATTTCTTAAAAAAAAATGTATCGTATAAGTGGTATAAAGAGAAAAATCGAAAGATTTCATGCGGTGGTTACGTAAACGCTTAAGATACATAATTCTCATGTTAAATTTCGTCTATTAGTATTATATTGTTTGAGCATTTATATTGGAATTACATTTTCGAATTGCATTCATTTGCAATTGAATTGATGTGGATACTCGTACACCATCCTAAACCCAATGTAGTGATGTGGAAACATCCTTTTTTTTAAACCAAATCATGTTTGAGTAGTAACTGTTAAACTAATCCCACCTTTGGATGTATATAATAATAATTATGTTATTACTGAATACTTCGAATTTACCGCTGCAATTCCACCGCCACACTTCCCTCACTACTACTCGTTTTTAACCCTACCGTTAAAAAAACGGTCCCTTACGATTATAAATTATAATTACTTAACTTAATTAATCAATTAAAATTTACCACCCCAACCTAACAAATAATTAGTCCCTCTCAACTCTCAAGTCCCAATCCCCAATACAATGCGCACCACCCAGACAACTTCCAGGAAAACGACACGTCATTATCACCCTCACCTACCCCACAAGTGGACCCCACTACTTTTAATCCGGCCTCCGGACCATAGGAATTCGGTGCGGACGCTCCCACCCGAACCCAACCCCGTCAAAGAACAAAAAAACAAATTTTCTTTTTTCTTTTACATTTTATTTTCCTATATATCCCCGCTTCGTTCTCCTGTCATCACCTCACCTCCACAAATCTCATTATCTCCCCTCATTCCTCTCTCTCTCTCTCTCTCTCATTAAATTCCGCCATTGTTAACCAGAGAGAAGGAAATATATCACAAGCTGAGAGCTCCCATTCGTTTTCCCCTCCAATCTTTTCCCTCTTCCTTCCATCGAAGGAAGAAAGAGGCGAAGAGAGAGACCAGGAAAAAAAATAGACATATTACATTTTTTTATAGCCTAAATCCCTAATTCCTCAAATTTGAATTTTTTTTTGCTCTGTTTCGGAAGCCATGGCGACGGAGATCTTGAGGCCTCAGGATTGTTTGACCCAGCGGATCAGAGTCCCTCCCTGTCGCCGCAGAAATTTTCATTACCACGGCCACGCCAACAACGGAAATGGAAGCGTTAACAATCATTCTAGCAATAGCAGTAGCAACAGCAGCAGCGGTATACCTTCTTCTAACCCTAGGTTTAACAGGAAGCCTGCAGCGGCCGGGCAGAAGTCGGCCGACCACCAGAGGAAGCGCCATCAGCCGGAGCCGTCCATCTCGAAGAGATCGACCTCCGCCGATGACTTGAGGATCCCTTCCTCGAAGAATCACCACCACCAGAGCCGCGGCCACAATCACAGCCACAGCCTGGTGATGGATAAGGTGACGATTCTCAGGCGAGGCGAGCTGCTCGATTCCAGAACCGTCGCTGCTGGTGGAGAAGCGAGTTCTTCGGTGGCGGTGAACGGTACGGAGAGGATTGGACCGTGTCCCGAGGCGGTGCCGAGGCAGATCCGGATCACCGACGCGAGGCCGCCGCCGCCGCCCTTGGCTACGCGGAAGTGCGACGTGTACGCCGGATCGGCGTTCGCGATGTCACCCGCTCCCAGCGCGCTCCCGCTGCCGTCGTTCTCGAAGAAGCAGGTTTCCGTCGACGACTCGGCTACCAGGGACCTCCGACGCTTGCTCCGGCTGGATCTTTGAAATCGAAGGATTTCAGAGATCTCGCTTCAGATTCACAAAAGGAAAAAAAAGTCTTCTGTTCTCATATGCGTCGCCGGCCGAGCAGCTCGCCTGAGATTTCTCCGGATTTTCCCGATCTGGAACCGTCCTCGTGAATATTTTTTCTAAAAGCGGGGGGGCTGATCGGGAATTCTGGAAAGTTTGGGGGAGCTAATCGGTTATTTTTACGGGGGCGTTGGTATTAAGGTAATGGAATTACGGGCTAATTAGTGGGCGGGTGGTGTTATTGGTAATTAGTGGAAGATTACGAGGTGTAAGGGTGGGAGTTAACTAATCTGGGGGAAATAATAATAATAATGGAAGAAATAAAAGGAGAATGGGTTTGTTTGTAATGTTTGCAGAAGTGGGTGGGGGGTTTTGTAATTTGTTGGCAAGTGAGGGATTATATGTGAATGTGGGGAAAAATTAGTGGATGTTTGTTATTTTTTTTCTTTTCTTTTTATCTCTTTTTGGGGTGGGGGGTGCTTTCTTGTGAACTTCGGGAGAAGGAATATGTAAAATTTCTTACTGATTATTGTAAAAAGTAAGATTGAAGATAATTTTAGAGGGGAGAAGAGAAATGGATTAATAATTTGGGAACATGATTTATCTCATTATAATTTCCCATCTAATAATTGTAACATAATATTATCACTATTACTATTATTAAACTTGATTATAGTCAACGTTACACATATCATTTCATCTCTGGTTTTGATTTAACGATTATTCATAAGAGTAATAAAATTGGATCAAAATTGATATAATTAATGGATCGAATGTGGCCTTGGTCATATTTCCCCTTATATTGGTTGTCGATTTGCAGGGATTGACATAAGAGAAGCATTGATGTCTGTCACGAGAATTGTATGAACATATCAAAGGGTGAAGTGGTTGAAGTTATTTATTAGTTCTGCGTACGAGTGGCATACAAGAATTTGATTCACGATTTGACAAGGATCGATTCATAAATAATCTTAATCGTTATAGGTGACGATTCATGGGAGTGAAATGTAGGCCGATGAAGTTTTTATATGAACTTATTTGGATGTGAGATTGGTGGGTTCTGAGTTATTCGAATGGCCTACACGCTGAATTTCACATAACATGACAAATTGTAGTTTTTTTTATACTTTATACAATCAAATAATCATCATATTTTCAAACACGCCATATACCAATCATTGATTTCTAAAGGAGAAAAACAAATAATATTTTTAGACTATTACTATTAATTACTATATTGTGTAATGTCCTTGGGATGCATATTATACAATATTAATAGTATTAAAGTCGCAAAAAACACCGATTTTCCTACAATCGGTTGACGGAGTAACGACAATTTTTATACGTATGAAAGTGAAATCACATGCGTAAAGAGGTTGGGTCTCTAAGGACATATGACTAGTGACTTTATTTTCTCTATGGATGAATACTTTTTTGGGTCGTTTCAAAGTTGGGATTTTTGTTTTCCAAATTGATGTATTTAATCAATTTTTATTGTAATTTGATATATTGTGTCAATGTATAAATATGAAAAATACATTATTTGAAGGTTGAATGTTTTAGTGGTCTCTCACAAATTTAGGAAGAAAAAATGATTGATTAACAATCTCAGCTTTTATCAGATTGTCGATCATCCATAATGAATGATTTTGGTGGGTCTATCTTCTGCTCAAATACATGTACTTTGTTTCATTTTAAGACAAAAGAACAACGAATTCTCCTAATTACATGTACACTCTGAACACATCATCTGAAATCACAACTTCCAAACGAAAGTGACCAAATGAAAAGTTTGTATGAGTATAGAGAACTTTGGACGTCACAAATACTAGTCGGATCTGCGGGAGACAAAGTGATAGGTAGCTACAATATTCCTAATCGAAGCTGGAAATCTCTACCAAACTGTATATATATAGTTTACTGTCAAGACTTAGAGATTGAAGCATAAACCAAAGATCAAACCAAATTTTATACGGTCCAGACGAGACCATGTTTGTGCGGCTTTGTTCGGTACAGTTTGACTATGCATACCAGGTTGAGGAACAAATGAACAATTTTTTTGATCCATCACACACAAAATTGAAGCAATAACTGAGAAAAAGCTGTGTTTTGCCTTCAAACCCTAAATTCCAAGACACATGCATAATTTTGATTTTGATACTCTAATCCATGTTAATGACAAAGTGGCAAAGCTAGAGCAACCAAACTTCAACCATAACATTGAAAAACATTAACATAATTTCATATGGAGATGCAGTCATCTCTACTTTCTAGCGAAGTGTGATACGTGAATAAAGGAGTAGACGAGGCTTTCAAAATTAAGGCTGAGATTTGGGTCTCATTGGGGGGGGGGGGGAGTGAGAAGAGTAGTCAAGCTGTTAACACGAATTGGGAAGTGGGTTGGATCCATGGTCTGGTCCCATAAATCGCGGTCTGGTTCAGACCAGACCTAGATATCAAACATTCCTTAATACAGACCATGAACAGGGGCGGAGGGAGAGGGCAATAGGGTGGGTCCCGGGACCCACCCTAGTTCGGGAGAAAAATGACTAAATTAGGTATAAGTATAACAGTTAATTGATACTGAAAATTAGGGTGTGTCTAATTGATAATCGTTGATCGAAAGGTCTTGTGTTCGAGTTTTGGCACCTCATTTGTTAAGCATATATAGTATTTGGATTTGTGCAAATTTAAATTCCACATAATTTGGTTTTCTTATAACGGGGTGTTGGTAAATGGTATAAAATATATTATTGAACCTCGCCCAAAAACTCTAGCTATTGATACAATATGGTTATTAACAAAGAACACAATTCGAAAGCGAATAAATAATTAAATCATTAATAATTGATTGTATAAGATTCATTATCAAACCTATTTCAACAACTCGAATTATTGATAGTAAATCATTATTGGGAAAGAACATCATTCAAAAGCGAACGAATAACTAAATTATGAATAAATGTTTGGTATATTCTCGATAGTTTTGACTATTATTGTATAGATTCTATGTTTGGTACATAGAGAGAGAGAGCAATTGTTTTACTTTATAGAAAAATTTAAATATAAGATTCTATTATGAATAATTAAAAATTTAACAAAAACTATTTCATCATGTATATTTTTTCAAAGTGGACCCACCCTAGTCGGAATCTTGGCTACGCCCCTGAACATGAACCAGACCAAACCATTCTCAATAGTCTATGGCTTAGTTTGGTCAACGATTATTTTTTTCTAACGGTCTAGTGTATTTTCCCAACCATATTTTAATCCGTGAGTAATTTATTTTAAATGTTAGTCAACTTGTCTGATGACAAGTTGGGGTGATTGAGAATTTTAACCCACAACTCAACCGCTCCAATTCCCACCCATCCGATCCAACCACAAGAAGAATATGAACACGTGAATAACGAATCACGATCATACGAACTCGTTAATAAACCGGCTAATCAATTAGAGACCTGAACCCACCCGACCCACCCACCCACCCCAGTTCTGAGATGGAAAGGAAGCGGCAAGGTAACAAGGGAGCTAGGTTTAACCTGAAAACCACGGCAGATAGGAAAGATGATGACTCAGTGAGACGATGGGAGACAATTGGCATCGTCCTACACTACACATATCTAGCTTTGGATTCTTATGGAGGAGGAGGGCCATTGCCTGAAAGTAGACGTTGCAAATCTGGTCCATACACAGCCCAAACCCATACCCAATCTTTACTATTGTCTTTGTTTCTGTCCATTTCCTTAACAGACAACAAGGACGTGACTGCAAGTTTATGAGAGGCTATTGTGAGCTCTCAAAGGAGCTTTACACCAATTAAGAAGGACCAGATGGAACTTCGTGTGGTTCTATAGTGGGCTTGTTTGAGCTTAATCTGGAGATTTTTCCAATAATAGCACCTTTAAAAAAAAATTACAAAACTAGCACCCTTCCAAAACTAATTACAAAACTAGCACCTATTTTAATGGAACGCACCTTAGGGGTGCGTTTTATAAATGAAACGCAGCTTTAGGATGCGTTTCCTTCATAAATCGCACCCCTAAGATGCGATTTCTAAGGTAAAACGCATCCCCAAGATGCGTTCCATATTTGGTCGCCAGCGACCTTCTGGATCGCACGATTAAGATGCGATCTGACGGGCTGCAGCATAGCCACGTCAGCAATCCGCGCGACTGTGTGTGGATCGCACTGGTGAGGTGCGATTTCTCGCCTGGAAAATTGGAGCGTCAGTTTTCTGCGCGTTCAACGCATCGGGACGCGGGGATCGCATCAGGGGAATGCGATTTGGCGTGTAGATCGCACCGGGAAGATGCGATTTCTGCGGGGTAAAATTACCCTACCGCCCATGAGGGGTGCGATCTGTTGGGTATAAATACCCCCCCTCCCCCTCTCATTTCTTCACTCCACACAACCCATTCTCCTTCTCTCTCTAGATATAATCTCTCTAAACCCTCCCCTCCCAAAAGCCTAGGAAATAAAAGTCTGTTGGTTGCGGCTAAGTCCGATCTGCCATCACAAAATATTTCTTAGGTTTTTTCCTCAAAAACCCGCCGAGCCAAGCCGAAGCTCTGTCCGAATTACGCCGAAAAATGGCCGATTGGTGGCAAGGAGAAGGAGTTTATGTCGATGAATTTCAAGCGGTATGTACTCATTATTCTGGTTTTATTTTTATTGTTGTTATAAGTTTTTTAATTAATCTATGTACTAACCTTGTTGTTATTTTCTCGTAGGTTGGGGAGGACGTCGATATATACAACCAACGATATTATCTCGAGCAAGGACCGGTGGATCCAACCGACTTGTACGACCAACCCAACCATCGGTCAAGGGATGTTTGGAACGATCACCCGGTACATACAATTCTTCACCATTTGTCCTTCTTTTATTTTGTTAATGTGCCTAGTGTAATATAAAATAAATTTATGTTTATTTTTTAATCGTGTTGGTGGTTTTCAATAATTTAATCGAATACATAGCGCCACTTACTTCGACTCTTTATAAAGAGATGCACGTCTAAGGAAATGGGGTTTTAAGCGATTATCATATCCTCCCATTACCTGGGAAAATCGGGTATTAAGAGATCCTCGGATCCCCCCTTTTTCTGTCAAAAAGACTGCGTTTCTAAGAAGATGTATACCTCTTCTAAGAGTCTAACGAGTGTTGCTTTGTATTCGATTAAATTATTTAAAACAACTAATACGATTAAATTATTTACCAAACATTTGAAGATGTATGTTTCTACTTAAATTATTATTCATTAACAATGTTATTTATGTTAATTAATTTAGTATGTTTGTTTTACGATAATATGTATGTACCTCTTTAAAACAACTAATACGATATTATTTACACAAACATTTGAATATGTATGTTTCTACTTAAATTATTATTCATTAACAATGTTATTTATGTTAATTAATTCAGTATGTTTGTTTTACGATAATATGTATGACACACATGTGTGTGTGATGACCGCACGGGATATGACCCAGTGGCCGTGTCTCTTGCTGTTGATGGCCCGAATCCTAACATTGCACCCCTCGTGATGATTACGGCATCTGACTATGAGCCTTTTGGTGTTGGAATGAGTTGTGTGCCATTCAAAATGCCGAGTCATTGCTTCAGTCTCAAGGGCGTGCCGCACATCCTTCTTCGAGCCAAATTGTTGGCCCTTCGTAAACCCAGTGAGTGGGCCCCATATTGGGACCTCTGGCGGCTCCATGTCGCTGTCGACCATCCAATTGTCGTCTGGAATGTGATTGTAGTAGGGGACTGGTACACGGTCAGCGGCCACATCATGATCATTATCTGAATCTGAATCTGGTGCTGAATCATCAGCACCTTCAAGAGGGTCTGAGCTGTCTGCACTGACGTTGTTCTCTCCTTCTTCATCAGAGGGGTCGCTGACTGGTGCTGGTGTGGCAGAATCCATCTGATCCTGCTCATGAAAGGAACCTTCATCAGCTCCATAATGGTAGTTGTGAAAACTACCGCTGCCTGTCAGGAAGTTGTACTGGGCTTGGTTGGGGATGTCCGGTTGAATTTCTTCTTCATATGACGAGAAAGATTGATGATGGCCAGCACCTTGCCCTCCATCTTGGTACTGAAAATAGGATTGAGGATCATGGTAACTTTGGTAGGGATGATCGTCATATAATTCACCTCCACCATGGATACCAGATGTTTGACCGTGTCCAGAATGACGTCCAACACCAACGACTGGCTCGGTGTAAACGAACATCTCGGCTTTGGCCAATTTGTTGGACCACAAGAATTCGAGCATGGAATCTAGGTCATCTTGAGTGGTTATGGTATATTCCTCATGCCACAATGACCCAGTTGCTCTGTTTGGGTATCGGTACACCATACGATCTACCCTCCTCGTGCCATCCATGCAAGTTGCGTCAGTGCATATTTGATGGAGGTCTTCAAGCTTCGGTCTGGTACCGACCTTTATTTTCTGAAAATTGCCACCGACGTAGGTGGCCCCCTTTCCGGTCTCTTCCGTGTAACCATTCCACCGTAAGCCAAGCGTTAACTGACGGAATGCCATCTGCACACAAACAAACCGTAGTTTAGTTAATATCATCAAAATCACAAATCACAATAAAAAGTCAAACAAAATCAACTTACGAGTTAATGTTAATGGCATAAAAAGTAACACAAGATAAAGTTACGAGTTAATGTTAATGGCATAAAAAGTAACAAAAAAAAACTTACGAGTTAATCTTAATGGCAAACACACTAAATAAATATAGATATACAACAGAAAAATGAAAGAGAGAATGAGAGGTGTGAAGAGTAGAGGTTTTCCGGCAAGTCTTATATAGGGGAAAAAATTGTGAAAACCGCACCTCTAGGGTGCGGTTTTAGTCAGCCATGCAGCCCTACGTGCATAATTCTCTGCATGGCTGTCGGGTGGCAGGAAAATAATTGGCACGTAAACCGCACTTGGGGGGTGCGATCTACAAGGTTAAACCGCACTTGGGGGGTGCGATCTATATGGCTAAACCGCACCTTACAGATGCGGTTCGTTCTTGGAGGAATAAATCGCATCTCTATGGTGCGGTTTAGGTAGGTCAGACCTAAACCGCACCTCGGCCATGCGTTTCATGTAGGCCAGACATGAAAACGCATTGCCAAGGTGCGATTTAGGCCCACCAGATTAGAACGCACCCTCCAGGTGCGGTTTACATTAAAACGCACCTGGGGGGTGCGGTTTATATGTAAATCGCATCACGAGGGTGCGGTCAATAAAAAAGGGTGCTAGTTTTGTAAATATTTTTGAGAGGGTGCTAGTTTTGTAATTTTTTTTTAAAGGTGCTATTTCTGGAAAAAACTCCTTAATCTGAGCTCATAAGTGCAAAACTCAAGCTCAAGAGTTCTCGAGATATGTACGTTAATCTAATCAAATGATCATTCATCTAGTTTCTTGAAGCTAGTTGGACCACTAACTAAAAAAAATCCAACTTAGTTTTGGTATGAGACTATGGGACTGAAATTCAAACCTCAAATGACTCTATTTTTATATTTCAATTTTAGGGTTAATTGCATGGTCGGTCACTGAGATTACAAAAAAAACGTTCAAGTTTGGTCACTCGAAATATTTAAATCTGTTGGTGGTACTTCAGTTTACTGAAACCGTTCATGTTTGGTCACTCTCCGTCCAACTCCGTTAACTTTTGCTGACGTGACGGTCAACTCTAAAAGTTGACCGTTAAATGTGTGACGTGGCAATTTAAAAAAAATTAAATTAAATTTTTCAAAATTGTCATCTCATTTCCACTCATTTGAAAAAAAAAAAGATAGGGGATTAAATGTGCAAACTGAAAAAAAGAAAGAGGAATGGGGAATTGAAAGTTAAATAAACAGAGGGGTTTGAATGGAATCGAACCGAGAGAATCGACGATGCGGAAGCGAGTGCGTTGAGCCCTTTTGTTGAGGGAATCAGATTCGGAGGTTGGGATTGTCCAGGCGTCCGACTTGCCTCCCACTGTTATCTCTTTGCCTTCTGCGCAGATGCAGAGGAGGCAGAGAAGCAAATAGGAAGAAGAGAAGAGAATAGTTGTGCGAGAGGCGGCCATGGAGGTGGTGGTGAAATAGAGACGAGGGAAGTAAGAAATAGGGGTATGGAAGGCTAAATCGGCTGGCTGTTGCTTCTGAAGGGAGAGTGTGCAGAGTGAGTTACTGTTTGCAGCACTAGCAGAGCCAATCTCCCTGTGACTAACTGTAATATATAACCAAACCCCAGCTCTCAATAAAGGACCAAACTTTTTAACTGCAAACCGGAAACAGAGCCAAAAAGGGGGAACAGAGGAGCTAGCACTAGCAGCCATGGAGTTTGTGACCACAACCATGAACGAGCTATGCACCGAGCAGCAAGTCTGCAGCCGGAAAAGAGCTCCGGAACTCCGATTTTTCTACGACGAAACCAAAGGGTACAAATCCAAGAACCTCGTCGCCGAGAGGAAGCGCCGGCGGAAGCTCACCGATCGCCTCCTCATGCTCCGAGCTTCCGCCCCAATTATCACCAATGCTAGTCTGAAGTCTCTGATCTTTCTCCCCCAAACATGTTCAGTTCCAAATTTCTTTCTCCAGTTTGTATTGTTGACCCAAATTACATGTTTGTCATTCCCGTTCTGGGTTCGGTTTGTTTTTACAGATGAACAAGGCGACGATTCCATTCAAACCCCTCTGTTTATTTAACTTTCAATTCCCCCATTCCTCTTTCTTTTTTTTCAGTTTTCACATTTAATCCCCATCTTTCTTTTCAAATGAGTGGAAATGGGTTAATTGCAAGGATGGTCACTGGGTTTACTAAAAACGTTCATGTTTGGTCACTGCAAATATTTAATTCCATTCATGGTCATTAAGATTAGTTCAATAGTTCAAGTTTGGTCACTCTCCGTTAGTCTCCGTTAGTTTTTGCTGATGTGGCAGTCTACTATTATAGTTGACCGTTAAATGAGTGACGTGGCCAATAAAAAAAAAATATTTACAATTTCCACCTCATTTTACAACTATTAAAAAATAAAAATAAAACTTACCTCCTCTGGCCGTCGAGAAGGCAAGCTCTGCCTTCTCCTTCAACTTCCCCCTTAATTTCTCTTCCTCCTCTTCTCCTTCCGCTCCTCTGCCGTTCCTCAATTTGAGGAGGAAATCGACCGCCGCGGATAGATAGCACGTTTACTAGCAGTGTATTAATCAATCATCCCTACCAAACGATTGTTAAAACATTAAAGTATTCCCAACACAGAGACAAAGACAAAGCAATTGGAGCTAGTTTGCCACGAAGCCCTCCTCTTTATAAACCCACGGACCAGCCACAGAGGTTTCCCCACATCTCACTCTCCCCCTTTCCCTCTCTCTATCTGTTTCATGTTTCCTCAATCAACGGGTAATACTTCAATCCCATTTTCCCAAATCTCTCATCTGTCTTCCTTTCTATTTGAATTCGTAATCCCCTAACTTGAATTGAAATCTGCATAAACAATGGCTTCCCACCACCACTTAATGACAACCATGCTTCCCCTGTTTCTCCTCCTCGCAACTGTCTTCACCGGAGCAATGGCTGCTGCACCGAAGAAGCCCGTGAACGTTCCTTTCAGAAGGAACTACGCTCCCACATGGGCTTTCGACCACATCAAGTACTACAATGGCGGCAACGACATTCAGCTGGTCTTGGATAAATACACCGGTAATCTCTCAACCCATCCCCTGTTTTTTTCTAATTTCATATTTGGGTTCCTCGTGTTTTCTGAAAAGAAACGGTCTTTTGTTGTTGGTTTTTGGCAGGGACGAGTTTCCAGTCGAAAGGGTCGTACTTGTTCGGCCACTTCAGTATGCAGATCAAGATGGTTCCCGGAGATTCCGCCGGAACTGTTATTGCTTTCTACGTAAGTAATTTTTTTTTTCTTTTTCCCGGCAAGTTGTTAATAATTAAGTAAACGTGCTGTCTGTGGACATGGGTAGCTAATTAAGTTGTTACTAATCGACCGCCGCGGTCGATTTCCTCCTCAAATTGAGGAACGGCAGAGGAGCGGAAGGAGAAGAGGAGGAAGAGAAATGAAGGGGGAAGTTGAAGGAGAAGGCGGAGTTCGCCTTCTCGACGGCCAGAGGAGGTAAGTTTTATTTTTATTTTTTAATAGTTGTAAAATGAGGTGGAAATTGTAAATATTTAAATTTTTATATTTTTTTATTGGCCACGTCACTCATTTAACGATCAACTATAATAGTTGACCGCCACATCAGCAAAAACTAACGGAGACTAACGGAGAGTGACCAAACTTGAACTATTGAACTAATCTTAGTGACCATGAATGGAATTAAATATTTGCAGTGACCAAACATGAACGGTTTTAATAAACCCAGTGATCATTCTTGCAATTAACCCAGTGGAAATGATATGGTAATTTTGAAAATTTTAATTTTATTATTTTTAAATTGCCACGTCATACATTTAACGGTCAACTTTTAGAGTTGACCGCCACGTCAGCAAAAGTTAACGGAATTGGACGGAGAGTGACCAAACGTGAACGGTTTCAGTAAACTGAAGTACCACCAATGAATTTAAATATTTCGAGTGACAAAACTTGAACGTTTTTTGTAATCTCAGTGACCAACCATGCAATTAACCCTTTAATTTTATGTCGAGGAATCATTCGTCAAAGTTAAGCTAAACCCTAACCACCGTGATCAATCATGGTTGTTGTGATAGTAGATGATTCCAAATAGATAGGAATAATTTAAATTCTCTCATATATAAGTTAGGAAGGAGAGGAACGTCTTGAAGCTCGAAATTGATTCGTAACTATTACTTGCATGAAATATTTCCACGATCTTTAACTTGTTATGGAAATTTGGTTAAGGATTATAATGTGTAAGTTTACACTCTACACTATACATACTTCATTGCTTCTCCCTGTTACCTTCCGATTCCCCTTTTGAGAGGGGAAGAAAGCTACTTCGGTAGAGGAAGGTTTGGTGTGAATCTAAAAGAAGGGCTTGGGCTCTTGTTCAAGGCCTTCGAGCCCATATATTCTTAATGGACTTATTTGGCTTGTTCTACTTGCATCTTATTGAACACGTGAAAATGTTGAATAAAGTTGTCTTAGGATAGGTCGAACTTCTCCTAGTATGATATCATTTTGCCTATTAGAGGTCGACACAAATCTAAGTTAGATGATTTTGATTAGGGCCTCAAACGAGTCGAGTCGAGTCGAGTTTTTACTTAGATTAAATTCGGCTTGTTTATAAAATTTTCAGTTCGAACTCGAATTTGGATAATCTAGCTCGAGCTCGACTCGATTAAAAATAATTCAGCTCGAGCTCGACTCGGTAGAGCTTGGTAAATGCTCATTAAAACAACTTGTCAAGTTGAGTACATGCTCGGCTCAAGATGAGCTCGATTTGAAATCATTCTTGCTGAAAAATGCTTACACATTATAATTTAAATGATAAAAAAACACTAAAAACTAAAAATAATAGCTAACTTCTATACACATTCTTATTAACAAGATAATGTTCATATTCAGAAGAGTAATTAATCATTCCACAAGCTCTAAACAAGACAGCTCGCGAGCTTAGCCAACAAGCCACTGAATCAAGCTAGCTCACGAACTTATCAAGCTGAGCATGATCTAGCTCAAGCTTGGCCCGTTTACTAACGAGTCGGCTCGCGAGAAGGCTTGTTAAATAACGAGCTGAGTTTCGAACGAATTTTTCCCGATTCGAACTCTGAGTTGCTCGCGAGCGGGTTGACTCATCTACAGCCCTAGTTTTGACTTAAAGGTAGTCATAGTTACTTTATCACTACCAACTTGTAGTTCACTCCTATTTAAAATTTCGGTAATGTCTATTTTTTATCCAAACTTTTTTCAGATTCTTTTATATTATCCAAACATATTAAAATGCTATTAATTAACCAAATCTTTCATAATGCATCAATATATTAGTCTTTTTTACATTATCGTTAATAATTTTGTAGCTTTTTTCTTAGTTAAAATACTAAAATTTTGGAATGTTGACCTTCATGTGTCTCTTTCAAGTCAGTATCATGTTGCCAAATCTACTAACAAAATTGCTAATTGAAAGTCAATATTTGGCTAATTTTTAGTATTTTGATAGGTTTGGATAATATAAAAGTATTTGAAGAAGGTTTAGATAAAAAATATACATTATCCTTAAAATTTCTAGTAAATTAGGATGCGAAAAGACCGCTCTAACTTATATTTGTAATGAGCAGGATTGATAATTCCTAAAATATTGTAAGTTGTCGAGCATCAAAGTCTTGTGTTATTACAATTCATCGAGTGAAATCTAAAAAGAATGGGGTATCCTTTTGCTAAGAAATCTACAACATGACTACTCTCCGGGTAGACATGAGTGATTCCTAACATTGCAATCTGTATAACCAAGCCGATCTTGAGCTCTTTCACTATACTTTAAAGTTTTAGTGTTTCAAAATATAAATGAAGCCTATACCACAATATTAAAATTATAAGTTCAGTTTGTACTATAAATAACTTTTTGGGTATGCCTACTATGACATGCATGTCACGGTGACATGCACTTTTCGGTCGACCTATTCCTAAGGGCGGTCGACCGAATAGTCTAATTTGGGCAGCACGAGAAAGCCTTGCGGTCGACCGCCACGACCACCTGGTCGACCGCATTTAGTTTAAGTTGGTATTTTTGGTCGACCAGAATAGAACCTCGGTCGGCCATTTCGTTGGCGTCAGAAACAACATGGTCGACCACCTAATATATAGGTCGACCACTTGATGACAGTAATTAACAAAATGGTCGACCGGATAAGGAAAGAGGTCGACCAGATAGAAGATAAGTGTTCTATCAAAGTGTCCAATCATTTGACGTAAAATGGAGATCAAGTGTTGGTTTCTCGGTCGACCTAATCCGGTACGAGGTCGACCGAATACAAGAAAGTCAACCTATGCCCCGTGTCTTTTTTGGTTATGTATGTCGATTTGTGTGGTTAATTTAATCGTATAAATTATGTTTCAAACCATCATAATTAGTCAATTATAACAAGGACTCATCAATCCATAGCATAACAACTAAAAATAAAACACACATAAAATAGCATAATTGTTCACCACATAAAAATAAAACTAAAAAAACCAGCATAGCATAATTGTTCACACATAAAAATAAAACTAAAAAAATAACATAAAAATAAAACTAAACAAATAAAACTAAAAACTACTCATCTCCCCCCTCTCCCTCATTCACATTTTCTTCATTTTCTTCATTGGTGGTGGTAGCATGGTGGTCAGATGTGGTGGGATGCATGTATCTTCCGCTGAAAGATCGCCACTCATCTCGCATCTCATTCACGGTCAGCTGCATTGTGCTCATCTGGGCGTTCATTTGCCCCATGTAGTCGTACATGCCAGTCATCTGGGCGTTCATTTGGCCCATGTACTCGTACATGCCATCCATGCGCTCCCACACACGCTGTAAGGTGATCGGTGGAGTTGAAGTCTGTGCCTCCCCCATTGGCTCGTCTCGAGCTCCTTGATCACCATCATCACCATCATCATCCTCATCATCATCATCATCACCACCACCAGCATGAGCAATGTTTGCTCTGACATACTCACCATTACGCAGCTCAAAGCCCATCTTTTTCAGAGATGAAACAGTATAGAACTCCTGCCTTGAGATCGATAACCCCACCTCTTCACTTAAATTCACATTAAAATGCTCAAATATCACAGTGAGGATCATCCCATAGGGAAGATTCCTGTTTGAACTCTCAGCAGCAGTAAGCATGTGGTTAAAGATCAAGTATGGCAAGTTCACCTTCTCGTTTAACAGTAGGTTGGTGAGGAGCTCCATGTCGAAGTAGGTGACTGTCTCCCGATGTCCACCCTTTGGCAGAATGTTGTAGGAGAGCATGTGGTGAAGAACTCTGGCTTGAACTGTCAGGTGGTTACTCGATGGCCTATTGCGCCCCTCAGCATCTTCCTCTTCATCAAGACCACATACGGTCTGGATTTGCTTGGCTCTCGTGTAATGCGTTTCATTCCAAGCACCGTAAGAATTGATTCTCCTCCCCGCGTTTGGAGCCTCCAGTACTTGCGCCAACACATTCTTGCTGATGCGCATCGCCACCCCATTCACATAGGATTTGAATGCGTGAATGGATCCATTTGCATTGCGCTCGTAGGAGATGTTGTTGTAGAAGTATTGTACCATTTTTGGGTAGTATGGTACATTGAGTGATATCACCTTCAACCACTCCTGATCGACGAAGGGTCCCAGAAACCCGTAATTCTCGAAATGAGAATACGCATCCGTCGTCAATGGCCTTCCCGGAACCACCCTGCGGTTGTGCATACTCTTCTCTTCGTAGTTCTCACTTTGCTCCTTCGACTGGAACAAATTCGAATTGAACTCCTCCCATTCCGAACTTGAAGCAGCAGCTTTTTGTGCCTTTCTTTTCTTTTTGCCGCCAAACATCCTGCGATCAAACAAGCAAGAATACACATTAGTCCAATTTTCGAAATGAACAATACGCGGTCGACCACTCCACAAAGCGGTCGACCACAATTAATTTAAAACGAGAATGGGTCGACCTCAGAAGAAACACAGGTCGACCTCAGTTAGTTTAAAACGAGAACAGGTCGACCTCAGAAGAAGCATAGGTCGACCTCAGCTAACTTAAAACGAGAATGGGTCGATATAAACCCGTAACAATTCAAATACAAAATTGCCTTCATAGGTCGACCTCAGAACCATCATAGGTCGACCTCGGCTAAATGAAAACGAGCATAAAATGGCCCAAATGATGGTACCACTTGAGTGCAAAACAGATCCGGTCGACCTCATAATCTGAAGAGGTCGA